AAGTTGAGAAGCCAGGGCCCATAGGTCTGTTGGGCCTCTCTTAATCCAGTTCCGCTCCTCCCCAGAGGAGTTCGCAATCTTGTTTTCATGGGATGAAACAGTGAACTTGTGGGGTTCCCAGGGACATGGAACGCTGCAGCCCGCTGATTCCTCTTGGTTTCCCTTCCTCTTTGCCCCAGTTCCAGCCAGGCTCCCGTCAGGGTCCAGGTGGGTGGGCGTACGTTCTCCCAGCCCATCCCGCATTCACAGGGCTCTGCTGGGCAGGCACACACCTGCCTGGCTACATCTCTGTATTTGTTCTGCTGGGAGCCACCTTGTTATCAGCCACCAACCCTGTCCGCAAACACAGCCCCGAGAGCGGGAGGACAATTGCTAGCCAGGCCCAGCCCCACACACGGCCTCGTCACGTGGCACCCATCCATGGCACCCTCCTGCCCCGCTGACCCCAGCGGGGCCTGGAGCCTTCCGGAGGGAGTCTAGGGGCGCCGCCGGGGGGCCAGTGAACTCCCCCGGGGCAGCCCAAGTGGAAGTACCGGTCAAAGCAGGTGTCCCATTGGCTGTTCTCCCCCTTCCCAGGCTGGGCTGAGCGATTCCAGCAGGGAGATTACGCCCCACCCCCCCCCACCTTGGGGAGCTGGGTCTGGCTTCCCTTTACTGGGCCTGAGCCTCCAACTCGGGGTCCTGGATCCTGAAGTGCCGCAAAGCTCAGGGGAGTCGGGAGCCGAGGGGGAGGGGAGCGTGGGTGGGAAGGGTAACGTGTCCCCCGCTGCATTGCCTGCCTTGCCCATCGGCTGGCGCTCAGCCGCCCAGCTGCAGGAACCACCTCCATCAACACCGCTCCATGGACAGCCAGGGTGATGCTACCGTGGGGGCAGGGGCGGGGGGTCCCTCAGCCCCACCGGTGAGCTTCAAACTCCAAGATCTTTCAAGCCCTGGGCAGGCAGCCGGGTTTCTCATCCCAGACGCAGCAGAGCAGGGCCCCCTCTCCGTATCCGGGCAGGGACAGGGCAGCGGAGGAGCCGTCTGCTCCCCTGGCTCCCTGGCGAGGTGTGGAGCTCCAGCGGGCACCGGCCCGTCACACCGCAGGCCCCGTGATCAAGGGCAAAGATTGCCAGGCCTGGGCTACAATTTCAAGAGCAATCCAAAAAGCCCCCCTGCCCCCAGCCAAGGATTTCAGGGGAAAAAGCTGTTCCTGGGAGGCGCAATTCCTGGTACTGGGGACCCGTGTTTACTGTCCTAGCTACACATTAACGTCTGCTCAGTCACGTCTGCCTGGCGGACACAAACAGCGGCTCAGCGGGTCTCTAGGAACGCTCTGCAGGGCCAGGCCGAGCACGCCCGGCCGTCATTCTTAGACATCCCTAGCCACGGCCCTCAAGCCCTGAACCCCACCCAGTCCACCCATCTCTCCAGCCACCTGCCATCCCCCCTTCCGGGGTGCCCTGTGCCCCCTCCCCAGTCTGCAGCATCAACGGGGGGGGATTTTCCCCGGGCCCCTGGGATCTCAGCTGGGTGGTGCTGGCTATCAACTACGGCTTGTGTTTTCAGAGGGGCGTAGGATGCTCAGTTCTCAAGGGAAGTCTGGGGGTCCCCGGTACAGGCAGGGAACGTCACTCACCACTGAATTACCAGCGACCCCCCTGGCAATAATGCACAGGGGGAGTAACTTATGCTCATCTCGTCCAGCTCCAAGGGCACCAGCTCCCTGCCACGTAACAAACTTCCTCCCGCCCACCCCATTGTTCCTACTGCACGTGCTGCCCTGGGGCCCGCCCGGTGTCTGGCTCATCTATTCACACAACATTGGCTCACTCCCTGGGACTCCCCCATTGGTCTGGCTGTAGCCAGCTGGTTTCTCTTTCCGGAGCTTGTCAGCTCTTTGGTCTGTGTTTGTACAGCACCTAGCGCAAAGGGGTCGTGGTCCGTGCCTAGGGCTCATAGGCACGACAGTAATACGGATAATGAATAACAGCCACGCTTGCCGTCGGTACTGGACATGTGACACACAGGCGAGCAGTTCTTATTCTATCCAGTAGAGGACACTGGTGACACATGCGCAGTCTAGCCAGCCTGCTACGCCCATTTTACAGGTTGGGACCTGGGGCACGGGGAGGTTCAGGAACTTGCCACAGTTCATCCGAGTCAGTAACAGAACCTAAGAGCCCCTCTACTGCCCCCCAGCCCTGAGCTCTCCCCAACGGGCAGGGCTGCCACCTCTGAGGCACACAAAAACCAGCCAGTCTGTGGGCGGGTCCAGTTTCCAGGCGGGGCCAGTCTGAGGGCGGGGCCAGGAAGGGTCTCAGCTCTTGGAAAGTTACACGGGACGTGGAGGAATTCGGAGGCGGGATGAGGGCACCGCTTCCCCATTGGCTGGCATCCGTCCTGCCACGCACGCCGCATGCATGTGGCCAGGTGGCCACAGCGCACTCCCAGCTATGGCGGGCACGGCCAGTCGTTAAGATCACTGCACACAGGGCCACACGTGGGCACAGCAAAAAAACAGCAAATGACTTCAGAGCGGCGACCAGCAAGGCACTAGGAAAGCCGGCCAGGCCAGTCACAAGCTGGCCAGGTGGCCACCTACCAGTGGCCCAGGCTGCCTCGGGGATGAGGGTGTGAGCTCGCTGGGAGAGAGGAGGGAAGCTGGCGGCAAAGGGGAGAAGGTTGGGCTTAGAGGAGGGCGGCGGAAGGATCCCGTGACCTGCACTGTGCTGATGGGGCCGCCCTGAGCCCAGGCGGGTCCGGCTTTGGCGCGCTCCGCGAGGAACAAGGCACCTGCTCTCCATGCCCAGACTCATCCGGATACCTGCAGAGCTGGCTGGAGATCCCAGGGTCCCGCGTCCTGGGCCTCTGCCCCCAGCCAGAGCCTGCAATGCTGGAGGAGACAGGGGTCAGCGCAAGTCTGTTTCCTGAAGACTCGGGGGGAAAGTCGGAATCATGCAGGGCAAAGCCGAAAGCAGCAGGCGGCCTGAGGACAGAGGACAACAACTGAACACGCCGGAAGCCCTGCAGGCTTCCTAGCAGCCCTCACGCCCGCGTCCCTGCACCCGACTCCCACACTCCAGCAACCAGGCAGGGCAGAGGCCAGGGCTCACTGGGCGGGGAGGGACGGAGATGAGTGTCCATCCCCATGGTGTCGGAGTGGGAGAGGGGGCTGGGATAGGCAGGCCAGAGGCACAGGGAAGACTTGGCGTTGGATTCCAGTTTGCCAGCGGGACAAGCGTCAAGGGAGGGATTTTCCAAAGCGGCGTAAGAGGCTTTGGTGCCTCGGTGAAATGGGAACCGGGCACCTGCCGAGCTCCCGCAGGTCCCTTCGGGAAATCTGCCCAAGGCCTTTGCAGTCTGGCCCAGCACAGACCCGCATGCGGCAAGGTCAGGCCTGGGGATCGTTCCAGCACGTCCTCCAGTAGGACGCCCCAAAGGCACCACAGCCAGCCAGCCCCAGTACCCCGTGGCTACCCCGGTGTCCCCAGCCCAAGTCTACTGGAGCGGAAGAGAGAGGGGACAGTACAGGGGGGGAGGAGGCGGCACAGAGATGTAATGGCTGGAGGAGCAGCCCGTGGACGGACGGATAGGTGGACAGATGGATGGATGGACGGACAGATGGGTGGGTGGATGCCCGATATTTCTATTCCACTCGCCCTGGGTGCCGTCCTGCGGCTCTCCCTAGCCCGAGCTGCAAGGGGTCCGTCCTTCACTCCCAGGCTCTTGGCTGGGGTGGGGACCAGGTGTCAGCCCCTCCCTGACTCCCAGCCCCAGGGCCAAGGCCAGACCCTGATTCCAGAGGGCAGCCTGCGCCCGGAGGCCTCTTTCCTCCTGAGCTGCTGGGTGGCCCAGCGGAGGAAGGGGGCACGGGGGTGGGAGGCGCCAGGGAACAGGAGGAGGGAATGTGTCCCTCTGAGCAAGGGGAACGAACTCTCCATCCACCCACCAACACTGGGCTCCTCTGCTCTGTAACCCCCAGCCGGCCTGCCGAGCGCGTGCCCTGGGGAGGGGGGTCTGTGGCATGGCCAGATGATGCCACTAGACCCATGCACACAGGGTGCCCCGTGGAACAGGGGCTCGGGCAGCGGCATGACACAGCCCCCGTCTCCTACCCCTCCGTGTGTCGCTGGGGGAGGAGGCGGAGCCTGAGGGGCCGGGGCGGGGCCAGAGGATGCAAATCTGACCCTGTGGCGATGGATCAGGAAAGCTGAGACAGCCTGGGGTGCCCCCGGCTCAGGGCACAGGGCTGGCGCAGAGGCCTGGAGCCCCCGCGGCCCGGAGCCCAGGCTGCACTCGGCCGGGGCTGGGCCCGTTAATTCGCTGGACTCCGGGCACCGTGGGGAGGGGGCCCCTCACTGGCAGGACGAGGACGGGCAAGGCAATCGGTGGGTTTCCTCACCTGGCAAGGGACCCGCCGCGGCTGGCACTGGGGGAAACGCAGGCGCCTGGCACGGGCTGGGAAAGCTCGACATTAGGCGCTGGGATCCTCATGCCGGCTGTTGCAAAGAACCAGCCCAGCTCTGCCCTGGCCGACAAGCGCAGCAGGGCTGCCCCCGGGATGGTGCAGGGGGTCTGCCAGCTCCTCCACTGCAGCCAGCCAGGCTCCTCTGAGTGCCCCCTTTGTGCCCACCATACCCAGAGAACTGCCCCCTCCCGAGCACCGGCCACTGGCATTAACCCCTTCCCTCCCAAACCATTCGGCTCTGTCTTGCAGCTGAGCCCGGCCATTAGCATCTTCCCACAGAGGCCCGTCGCTGGCGCAGCTGGGGGGGCACTGGTGGGTGTTAAAGTACAGCTCACCTCCCCCCAGCACCCCGGGCAGTGATGCCAGAGAGCGTGTTCCTGTCCACGGCAGTGTCCATGCGCAGCCAACCCCTCCCCTCCCACACATACCTGTCCCTCTGTGCCAGCCCATGGCTCACCCCCTCGGTGCCAGCCTGCAGGGCTCTGACCTGGGGGAGGGTTGGGGGCTCCCTTCCCATGCATGCCCCCCCACACAGGCCCAGCCTCCTTACCTGCCGGCTGGAGGCTCTCCTGCATGGACTCGATCTCAGACAGCTCAGTGCAGACGCCCTGCCCGTGCATCAGCGTGTGCAGGGGTTTCTCCACCCCCCGGGGCGGGTAGCAGCGCAGCCCGGAGCCGCAGCGGGCAGTGTAAACCCCGCAGGGCGTCCCTTTGCTCAGGGCGCAGGTGGCGCAGCACCCGCAGCCCGGCTCTCGCACCAGCTCCTCGCAGCCCACGGGCGCCTTGCAACGGGTCAGCTTCTCCTCCGAGCAGGGCGGGCAGTGGATGGCTTCGTCGCTGACACACAGGCCCATGGTGGCCAGCAGCAGCACCACGGAGAGGCCGCCTGAGGGCATGGCGAGCGGGCGTACGGACCGGGCGCTATGGCGAATAACGGACCAGCCAGCCGAGGGCAGGGGGGAGAGGGAGCGCGCAGGCCAAGGAAGGCAGCAGGGTCCCAGCCGGGTTGCCCCCCAGACGCACGGAGAGGAGAGGGCTTCACAGCCTGCTCTCAGCCCGGCCAGCAGCCATCCAGACTCCGCACTGCCTGTGCGAGCCGAGCCGAGAGTCTCTGGACTTTATACCGGCCCCTAGCCACTCCCCCGGCTCTCCGCCTGCCGGAGCTGTCACCAGCCGGTCCCTCCCCGCAGGGCCAGCCCAGTGCCCCGGGGCAGAGAACACACAGGGCTGGCAGCAGCCCAGAGACAGCGGCGAGGGGCTGGGAGGGGCCCAGGCTCCAGAGAGAAACTGCAGCTCTGATCCCCAGCCCAGCTCCTGCCATTCCCGTCCTGAGCTCCCCACCCCCCAGCTCTGCCAGGGCCCCTCACTCCCGACTCGCAGCCCCCTGTTAT